GGAGCTAGCCATTTTGCGAACATAGCACCACCTGGGTGGCACCTGTTTCGCAGCCCTTACGTCAGTATTTTTGAGCAGAATGTTCCGAATGTCTTCGTCAAAAATGTTTAAGAAATCGTCGAACGATCTGTAGAGTTTGTCACCGTCGGTGGGGTTGCCATTCACGTTATTTTGCGTGGGTTCCTTAGGAAGACGGTTCATGCTGCCGGGCAGTTCATTAAACGGACCAGAATTATAGGGGAGCATAACCGGAGGGATAATACTGTGCGATGAGGGAAGCCCAGGTATGATGGGAATGGGGGGGAGTTTGAGGTTATTTAAATTTGGCGGGGGAAATATCTCTGGTAATGCCAACAAGTTAAGTTCTTCAGGGATGACATTTGCCGAGTTGGTACTACTCCTATCCACCCTAGCTTCGTGTTTGCTTGGTGCCATGTTTGGGGCATCTCTACAGGTTAAATATATAGGAACCTTCTCCGAACAGTCATAATGAAATTTAATAATGATGTCATTTTTGAGCACTTCGCTGTCTTCAAATATTTTTCGAGGGTAATGGTTCCCTTTTATGGCAACTTGGTAATTTATTTTTACATTTTCGAAACTTTTGTAATTCTTAAAGATCTCCTTCAGTGAAGCGTGAAGCGTTTCTTTCATATGTGTGCCACTACCAGAAGTGGTATCGAAGAAATCACCATGTTTGTTCCCTTGATGATAGACGTCAAAGTTGACTTCCCGATGGCTGGTGAGACTATTTTCCTCCATTTTTTTCCCTGCACATTCCAGTAAAAAAGAGTTAAGTAAAATTAGGGCGTTATTTTGGTTATCATTTGACGAGGTGTCATGGAGGAATGGTAATATGTTTCCTCCCGCACACTCCGTACATTCCGCGGGTTTGTTCCCATCTTGGGATACATTTTTAAAGGTTAATAAATTCATGAATGATAAGTTTGTTAAGGAACCAAAAAGGGTGTCCTCTTCCTCTTCTTTTTGACTACCCACGTAGTTGGTAGTAATGTCATCCCTATTTTTGATCCACATCGTATCATTATTATGGAAAATCTTACCGTCTCTTCCTTCTTCTGATTTGTCATATCTTTCCATTTTTCCTTGGTTCAGATCTCCTCCGTGAGAAGTAACTCCAGAATATAATTCAAATGGGTCTTTAACCTCCGAGTGGACATGACTCATTTTGTTTTTAATTTCTTTTCCTTTGCTTCGATCCAATGTGGGTACATCGTAGGAATACACGGTTGGATTTTCATCAGAGAACTGGACCGTTTTATGACCACTGTTTTTTCCTGTATAAGGGTGATCATGCATGAGGTGATCATCTGGGTGATGTTCTCCCCCTTTCGACCCCCGATAGTTGTTGGAAATTCCATCTGGGCTATTCCTAGGGGAAGAATTTCTTCTCCTTTTCTGTGATAAATTACCAAACTGATCATCTTCCACGTGGTTAAAGTTAGAGTTAAAGTTTATATTACCATCTGATGATTGCACTTCTTTATGATGCGTTTTGTAGGTGGATGGTTCCCTATACTTCTCATCATTTGCATGACTAGGGTTGGCGCCATATCTAGCGGGTGGAAAGCCACGTTTATTTTTTAAAAAACTCATATTTGTGTTCATGATGTTGGCCGGGGGATAAGCAAACAAGCTTTCATTCTCTGCAGACTGTTGGTTCGCAATGTTCGTACCATCGTGGGTACCCTTGTACTTGTTCAAGTATGCAAATTTGTTTTCCGTTGGGTGGGTAGTCACGTTCAGTAAGCTTGGATTTCTATTAACCATGTTGCTACTATTGTAGGGCTCTTCTTGCTGTAGGTATGCATTCCCATTTTGGTTTTTTGGGAGCTCCCAAGGGTAGTTTTCCTTTCCTCTGTTTAACCTATCATGTGATGAAGGAGATACACTCATCATCTTCGCACTTTTGTTCATTGTATAGTTCAAGTTTTGCATATAGTTATTCATAACACTGCTACTATTTTGTGGGAAATTTTTGCTCATGTGATGATGCTGGGGAACTGGGCGGGGTGGAGGAAAATCTCCTAATAGAAGTCTTTTACTTAAGGAACTATCCAAATTGGGTTTAGGAATATTCGCTATGTCGGTGAGGATATTTTCACTCTTTGCATTTTCAGACGTATTTTTCAAAGCACTAAACTTTTTGATTTTTCCTTCGATTTTTGCTTTTTTATATTCTTGATGTCTTTGTTTTTTCTTCTCATGCTCTTCATTCAGCGTGTCTATTATTTCTAGCATAATATTTTTGTTTTCATTGGACCTGTCTGCTTTTTTTTTATCATTACTTCTGGAAAGGGGGATTACACCTTTTGGCTCCAGATGAACAAAATTTGGACTTCCCTTGGGTCCTTCTTGGTCTGTCTTTTCGTGCTTCCTAAGGTTCATCGATTTCGCCTTTTTGATCTCGCTCTCCTTTGAGCTCTCTCTAGGGAGCGCGTCCATGGTTCTGCTTTTACTTGGGAGGCCCGCTCGGCTGTCCTCATTGGCCCGAGGGGGTGTTGCACTGTCCAGCTTGTTTTCTGGCGAATTTTCTAGCGAATTTTCCAGTTTGCTTTCTACTGTGTCTTCCGCATTGTTCTCTACTGTCATTTCCGCTATGTTTTCTTCGGCTTTTTCCATTTTGCCTTCCCTGTTTGCTTCCCCTGCGGGATTGCCCCCCCCGTCGGTGCTCACGGCAGTTAAGGCTCTGTCCCGTATAAGCTTCCACTCGTTGATTATCTCCTTGGCCATGTTCCGAACCTGCTCGTTGTCAGTGGTATAGTTGAAGTCATTCTTCTCATCGACCTTATTTCTAGCGATAAAATTGATGGGGACTCCAATCAAGGTGGTCTTTAAATGATCCAGAGTGATGCTTAATTTTTTTAAAAGCTTTAGAATATGAATTAGCAAAGTGGAGCATTTTTTCATGCGCTTCCTTTTGGCTATATTCTGCAAAATCTGTTTTATGCACACTAGTCCATCTTCCTCTAGGAGCACGTCAAGCATGTCAATGGAAGCGTCTGCGAGAAAATCGAAATAATGCTTCAAATTGATAAAACTTCTTTCGTTCTTGACAAGTTCAAGTATCTTTTTCATGTATTCCTTCTGCTTTAAATTTTGCAAATCGTTGTTTAGTATGTTCATAATTTTACCTTTGCACTGTTCTTGTCTGTCTTTTCCTTCGTCCTTGTATGAGTCCTTGTTGTTGTTGTCCTCATCACTGTCGTGCACCTTTCCCTGGCTGCCCCTCTTCAATGATTTTTCATATTTGTCCTTGACAAATTTTAGGTAGATGATTATTTTCCCCTTTTTATTTCTAAATGCCGGTTCGATGTAGTATAGCGCATTTAGTAAGTTGGCATTCAGCGGTTTGTCTTCAAACAAGCAGGGGATGATTTTTAACTTGTTGGCATAATACCATGCTTCTAGGGTTTTTATTTCATCTGTATTTAGCCCATCAATTTTTTTAATTTCGTTCGAACTATCCACGATATTTAGTGTACTTTTTAGATCTAAGATGATTTGCTTGGTGTCTTTTGTTGGCTGTTTGTTAATGCTGTCAATTTGTTCTTGCAACGTGTCGATGTTGACATTTATTGGGTTGTTTTTTTTTTCTTTCAAATCGTTTTTGATTTTTCGTGCTTCCTTCAATTTTGCTCTTTTTTCTGCAGCCGTTTCGGCAATTTTGCCTTCATCCCGTTGTCCCCTCGCATTGAAACTTTCCTTTTGGTCTTTTTTTTTCTTTTCTGTCACCTTTTTCTTTCTGTTTTGTTCATTCTTGGACTCCCCATTAGTTTCTCCATCGCCTTTGTTTGAAACGCCATTTTGTGTCTTGCCTTCCGCATTTTGCAGCTGGTCCACTTTTCTTAGTCTATCTTTTTTTACTTTACTTTTGGCTGTGATATCTTTCTCATCTGCGTCCTTCCCGTTTGGAGAAGACGTGGGGGCCTCCACTGGCATGTCGCTTGTTTCGTTTGAGTTCATATAGGTTGAGTTTGCCTTAGCCTTTTTTATGCTCATATTTTTTTTCCGTTTCTTAAATGCAACTTCGTTGGCATCGATAGCGTTCGAAGTGAGTTCCATTTCGAGAAAGTTCTCAACAGAGGACTTGACACGCCTTATTTTGCTTCACCTAGGCCGTGATTTATTTAAATTTTTTTTTTTTACGTTTCAATTTATACGCGCTCGCCTTTGCGCGTAAATTCTTATGGTGTGTTTGCTTTTGTCTTGTTCTGTTTACCAAATGGGCAAAATTTTGCGAAAAAAAAATAAGAAAAAAAAAGAAAAAAAAGTACGTTTATTAGAAAAATTATTTTGTTTTTTTTCCTTTTTTTTCTTTTTTTTTCTTTTTTTTTCTTTTTTTATATTTATACAATTAAAAAGGTTCATGATAAAAATTAAACTAAAAAAAAGGGGTCATTGTTCGACCTACCTTACGTCGCAAAAGTCGACACATGCTTAATGGGGAGGGGGGAGAAAGTACCACTTACGTGAACACACGTGGTCGTGTTTTCGTAAGTGTGTCCATAAATATATAGGTACATATATATATAGAAACACATAGACACACACACGTTTGCAGATTATGCTTCAAAAAATGGCGTGTGCCTTAAAAATGTTTCCACAGAAACAGCCAAATCGGAGGATGCCCTTTTCCCCTTTCTCATTCTACCATTTGCCCACGTGGGAATTCGTTTAACTGATACGAATATTTTCGTTAAATTTAAAAATGCACATGTGTTGGTTCAGGTGAAAGGGTATGTAATACACACGAGGGTAGAGACCCTACAGCACGATGGTGTCTCTCTATGCAAAGGCGTTTATGCAAACAAAAGGTGTAGATATCCCCACAGTTAATCTGTGGACAAACGAGCACACACGCTTATATCGTGTGGTGCACCGTTTTTTCCTATTTGTCAATCTTCTGTCATGTCGCGTATGGGTAAGCAAACATATGTATATGTGAATTTATACACACATATGTAATGTGCTGCATCTTCTTCCCTGTTCGATTGGGCTGTAAAGCAATGTTTCCCTTTACGGACAAAACACGAGCAGAGGCAAAGAAAAAAAAAAAGGGTTACGACTTCTTAAAGTTGTTTTGGTAAATTATGCTCTGGCCCTTTTCGTTCTTTCTCGTTTATAAGTTATTTCACAATTAATGAAAACGTCCGTCAGCACACACAGGCATGTATGCATATTCGCTTTGCGCACTGGTACATGCTCCTTTAGTACATTCACTTAATCACATGCATTCCACTCGTCATAATGTAGCACGCCCCTTCACAGTGACTTCACAATTTGTCATTTCCCCAATGCGTAGTCTTATTCTGTTTCTGCTTGAGTTCATCTGCCTTTGCATACCACTGCCACGTTCTTCCACTGCATTCAGTTCAGTTGAAATAGCTTAAGTTCACACTATTTTGGGGTTATTTGGGGGCTATTTTGGCGCTATTTCTGTTCAGCTGGATTTTCCTTTCGTGCGTATCTCTTAAAGGAAGCTATTTCGTAATTTAAAAAAAAGAAACTTTCAAATGGCAATCTTGTATGGCTTCGGCAAGGTCGCATATGTATTTTTTTTCATATCATATTTAAAAAAATATACTTTTGCCCGTAAAAAAAAAAGCGACTTCATCACGTACAATTCAATTGTCACGAATTATGTCGGCAAATGATGCCAGCTGCTCAGCGTACATAAATGGGTATATTCAAATAACGTAAATAATTTATATAGATATATATAATATGCATTATTGAATCGTTTGAGTGGGACGAATGGTGCCACAGTGACTTGCGAACTTCAAGCTAGTGCGATGTGCTTCGTGAAAAATAATTTTATGTCCGCTTTTTTCTTTAAGCAAGATTCTGCATTGAAGCGTTTTTTTTTATTTTTTGCTTCCATGTTGAAACACCCCTCCGTTGCGAAGAAGAGGTATGTAGCTTACACGGTGAAAAAAAAAAAATCACAAATACTTCGTTAGTGAGGAAATAAACCAAACATGCATACCCATATATGTACATAGCTCACCCTTGCGATGTCCTGATTTGGCGAAGGGGGAGGCATTGACAAAGGAGATGTACCTAGGCGAACGAATTGAAGTAGGATTGGGAAACGTCAACTGAAAAGGGTGCTGCGTATATATAAGATATATTTTTGCTCAAAGAATGAAAAGGGATACATGCGTTAACACCGCATAATAGCACCAAAATGGGGAAACTTCAAACATAAAGCAGTAGGGTAACAAAGGACCACGCAAAAGGGCACGAAAAAATATTTCAAATGACATGCTTTCAAAGAATGCACATTATTCTGAAAAAACGTCAAATTTTTTATATTTTTTTCTTTTTAAATTTGTAACTATAGAAACACAATATCATTTCCTTGTTCCATTTTCAGTATGGTGCAGCGCTGCCTTCACCGCACCAATCACCAAAGTAATGCCATACTCAATTTTAATAACACTGCACTTGTGTTTTGCTAGGCTGGTTAAGTGACGTGGGAGTGTCATCGATGCCCCATATGTAACCTACACAAACCGGTAAGAAGTCACAAAGTTGGCGTGCGAGGTGTAATGCTTAAAATACACATTATTAGAGGACACATACAGTTTTATATTTTAATGTATATGTGTGTGCTTGCGGAGCACCTGAGCGATTTAGGGTAAACTCCCTGCGCATGCTTCTGTTGAAGTGTCGCTCTTCATGAAGTTCATAAATGGAGCCAAAGAAGAAACTGAAAAAAGGAACAGAAAAAAGGAACTGAAAAAAGCGATCAGGCAATCGTGCAAGGGAAGGGAACTGCACACCCTTTTTGAGCATTCGATTAAGGCGCCATCCCATTTGCAATTTCCCGTTTTGAAATTACCCCTTTAAACCGTTTTCCTTCTTAGACGATTTACGACTCCCTTTTTGTAACTCGCCTGAAATAAGCATAAGCTAAAATACGCCACGGAAGATAATTTCGTAAAAATCGTCATTCATGTCGGGCACATTGCATTACGTTACAAAAACGTAACACCTAACATGTCTGTAATAAGTAACACGCGACGTTGTAAACATTTTTAGCCTCATTCAAAGCGTATTGACAACAGGATCTTGTTTCCCCTTTTTTTTCTTTTTTTTTTTTAACACCAATCAAGGTGGGAGAAGGAGTGCTGTAAGAAACAGCAGGTATGACAACTTGACATGTATGGCTCGATTTTTTCACCTTATCGTGCACTTTTATGACATGAAATTGTGCATCCCGGCCGGGGTTGATCAAAACGGCGCAGGAAAGGCAGGAAAAAATAGCTATATGACGATGTGACTGGAAAAGATCCCATTCGGCTGTCTCCCTTTAATTTGTCTTTCAAATTCTCGCCAATTTTATGCCCATTTTATGCCATTTTGCGCCTGTTTTCGTTTCCCCCCCGCAGGGGCTTTAGTGCGAAGTAAGGGCCGCGCTACAAACAAACCAAAATTTTTTAAGCCAACCATCCTGGAATGAGCGAACCAATAAATGTAAAGCATAAGATAGGAGATACATATCGAAAGGTGTACTCATATTTTAAGCCAATCACAAATTCGTCTTCATTTGTTAAAAATGGTATGCCTTGATTTGGGTCTATTCCATTTGTGAACAGTCATAGAGTGATGTCTTGCCGAGGGGCCATCGATTCGTCATTAGGATGACATGGAGAGCATGAACTGTAAAGTGGGAGAAAGAAAGATATCCAAGGGGTACTTCCCTCACTTGAGGCCACTTTTTCACTCCCCACCTTCAACGCATTTTTAGGGACACTGACCCCAGCGGAGTTTGTGGACGCGGGGGATTTTCTGGTGTACAAGTTTAGGACATGGGAATGGTAAAAAAGAAAAAAAAAAAACATTTTAAATGAAAAGCCGAACTGATTGGAACAGTCAACACTAGTTAACAGTACCGGAGAAAGGGGAAGATGCACTAATCCCACATCCCATCTGTGCACACTTCTTTTCTTTTTTATAGGCAAGATGCAGATAAAAATCGGAGAGTCCCCTATCTACCGGAGGGGAAGCAATTCCTCTTAACGAAAAATGTGGCGTGCAAACAAAGAATTAAGGACTTGAGTTATATCATGCGCGATGTGGTAATTTGGGAGTTATAAAAAGATATAAACCTGCACGTGTGTATGCGTTTCGGATTAATCTTGCACAATCAGTTAACGCGATTTTTCCTTTTCTTTGCGAATGAACTGCATGCGCTTATATTTCAATCGCCTTTTTTAAGGAAACTGTTGAAAACGATTGGCTGCTTCCAAGTTACGAAGAGGAGAACAACGCCACTGACATAGATGAGTGTAACGAATGAAGATAGCGAGGGAAAAAAAAGAAAAAAAAAAAAAATTGACACGTATGCACATGTTATGTCTACCCAGTGTTTACTGAAGTGGAGGAGCAGCACCAAGATTTAGCCACCATTCCAGCATTCCCCCGACGTGCAAATTTAATTCTTCACATTTTTCAGACATTCGTGACTTGCAGCCCTCCCCCAGAAGTGTGCCCCAACAGGAAAAGGTAAGAACAGAGAAAAGGAAAAGCGACAAATGACGAGCAGAGTAACAATGTTGTATATAATGGTCCACGACAATATGGATAAAAAAAAGAATCCCAATGTACAAACCCCTCCCTCCATGCAATTTTTTCTCCCACGTGCTCAGGCGCATAACCACCACGATGACTCGGTGGAAGAGGACGACGAAGCCATTGACATACATAACTTTGACGCACACTTTGACCCAAACTTTGACCTCATTAAGGTTACTAATATGAGATAATGGATAGGGCAAATATATATATCCATTCGGTTGCTTACTCGTAGGAAAAACTTCATTTGTGTCCTCCCATACCTCGTAGCTATGCATTTTTTTCTCCCCACAGGAAGATGACCCAGCCGCCCTGGACCACGCCGGCCTTTATTCGTATGGTGGGCAGAATGAAAGTAATATGAAAAGGATTCACTTAGAAATAAATCCGTACCTGTGTCTACATAATGGCACGGAAAAAGTGGGAAGAAATAAGTGCCCCCCCACTGTGAATCACTCCCATGTGCACCAACCCGGTTCCTCACTCCATCCCTCCACCACGCAGACGTTATGAAAATACGCACATACGATGTCAGCATAACCTACGACAAGTATTATGAAACTCCTCGGATATGGCTGTTTGGATATGACGAAGTAGGTGGGCGACTAGTTCGGCTGCCATTTTTTCACATTCCACATTTTTGTGACGCATCTGCTGTTACGTATGTGTTCTTACGCATTTATTGTTACGCATCTGCTGTTACGCATCTGCTGTTACGCATCTTCTGTTACGCATCTGCTGTTACGCATCTTTTTTTACGCATTTTTTTGGGTAATGCTCCCCGAATTTGCCGCTCCCCTCCCTCCATCGCAGAATGGGCACCCTCTAAAATCGGAGGAAATTTTCGAAGACATCTCTGCAGAGTACAGTTACGAGACAGTTACCGTGAGTGGAAAAGACGAATAATTAAACAGATATTTGCAAATAATTATTTGTGCTACTCGAAATGGGAAACCTCTTTTTTTTTTTTCTTTTTTACCGTTTTCATCTCTGTACACATACTATATATATGTGCATTGGGGCAATTTTTTTAATTCCTTTCTTCGCAGTATGACCCCCACCCGTGCACAGGAGTAATGACTGCATCTATCCATCCCTGCAGGTATTTTGGGAAGTCCCAAAAAATGAATTGTTTTTTTTCCTACCCCCTTTTTTGTGTTTATCCTTTGGAAAATATTTTGAACGCCCCCCTCTCCAGACACGCCGAAGCGATGTTAAACATTGTAAAAAATTGGATGAACGAGGGAAAGGAACCGAGGTAAGTACACCCCCAGGTGTGCATTCCTGTTTTTCAAAATTGAAATGCATGTATATATATACACACATGAAGAAGTGGAATATAATTAAAAATGCAGCAACTGTTCCTCCCTCTTTTTCGAAGGCATGATCTGTACCTCCTATTTCTTTTGAAGTTTGTCTCTGGCGTGATACCAACGATCGAGTATGACTTCACAACGGATGTAGAGCTCCCGAGGGATGATAGGAAGTAGATGTGAAACGGCCCAATGTGTAGAAGCAACCCAAAAAAAGAAAAGAAACACACACACATATGTATATATTTTCATATATTTATGTATATGTATGCCCGATATGCGATTGAGCGTTTGATATTTTTAAAGGCCCAGTAGAGGACCTACTTGAGTAAGTCCTTCAACAAATTCAAGTCGAATATTTCGGCACCGTCGAGGAAATCCTCACTTTTTGTAAAGATTTGAAAAATTCTTCGGAACTCATTTTGATCCATGGTTTCTCCGTGATTTTCTAGCATCTGGAAAAAATCACTCCAAGAAATTCTTTTCCTTTTATTTTTATCTTTGTAATAATTTCCTACGTCTTGTATTACTTGGTCCAATTCTGTTTCGTCCTCCGTAGCGAAATTGAAGTAGGTGTAAATAAATGCATTGATGTTGAAGTATATATCTTCGCAGTCCTTTGTGATGTCCCCCTCGAGGGTTTTGTCTGTACCACTTGGATTTGCTTCGCTTTGGTTATCTTCATCTTTCTTGTCGCCCTCGTTTTTGTCCTGTCTTTTTTGTTCACTGGAATTGATGTATGCGCGACTTTCGGTGAGAAGCTGCTTGTCGGAATGTGCTTGGGTATCTGCCAGCGGGGAATCGGGGTGGTGAGGAGATATTCCCGCGGGGGGGGTGGCGTGGACGTTGCGTTGAGGCAGTTTTCCGGATGCGCTTGAGAGACAGCGATTTCTACGCGATCTACACTGCTACATCATATACATTGCTACGCCATGCGCGCCGCTATCCCAGCAGCGACCTCTCTTACCCGTGGACCCCGGAGGCCACACAAAAAAGACGTTTTGCAGGAGGACGTCGTCCTCCGACTTATAATTCACCAGAGTGACACCGTTCGCCATGGAAAGGGATTCGGCGACGGGATCCCCGCCCTGGATCAGCAGTGGAAGCACGTACTTATAGTAAAAGTGATACTCCTGTATTATGTTCTGTATTTCAAATTTGGATAGGAACACATTGATAGAGGCAAAGATGTACTCAATAGACAAGATGTTCAGCAGTTTCTTGATATCATGTTTTTCTTTTTTTTGTTGAAATTTTTTCTTTTGAATTTCACAGTAGTAAAAGGAGTCCATAATTTCTTTGTACATGCTGCTGGTCTTGCCCCCAATTTGTTCGATAAAATTTTGCAGAGTGTTACTTTGGACCTCTATGTTTTTCTCTAACACGTTAGTGTTAATACGATAGTAAAAGATTTTGTTGTTACTGAGTATGAACATGTTTTGATTCTTCGAAATGACATTTTGTATGGCCCCACTGCAAACGATTCCCCCGATGTACCTAAAGCAGTTTGCATCTATTGGGGTTTGGGTGAATACGATCATTTTTTCGTTGAGAACAAAAAGGAAGATGTTGTTTTTTTCCATGTTGTGTTTAGCTGTTTCGGTTGATTTGTTCTTTCCGGCAAGGGTGGCAGTAGCGGTTTCCCCATAATCCGTGAGGGGCAGAAACTTTTTCACGTTCTTCTCCCGAAACGGGAGGTGAACCGTTTTTACGATTTTTTTGGTCTCCAAGTCGAAGAAACGGATTTTGGAGGCTTCATTGCAGATGCATAATATTTGTCTACCGTAAAAGTACAGATTTTGCGACACGCACGTTGGGGCGTAGATCTGTTCTATGGGCAAGTACGAAATGGTGACATCATTTTGGAGGAAGTTGTAATGATAGAAGATGATGTACTTGTTGTTCGTTATGCCAACAATGATGTAATAATTTTGTTTGTGAATTTGTTTCACTATGTTCAAATCGGTGAATGTGATATTATTATTGTTAACAATTCTGTAGGCAAATTTCCAGTCGAAGGGATTAGCACAATTCTCATTTTTATAAATGATCATATTACCATTTCGAGAAGACGAAATGAGGATCTTGTCATCTTCACTGAAGTATAGGTACGTCACCTCGTATTTCATGTCTTTGCTCGAGAAAAATGTTTCCAGTTTGTCCGATCTGATCAGCTGAATGAATCCACACTTGCATCCCACGCAGAGTATATTTCCACTGTTGCTGAAAACCATAGATACGATTTCTTTCGATGTCAAACAAATTTTGTGCACTTTTACGTTTTTGTCAAAGTCGAAGATTTCGATTAGCCCGTTTTCATTCCCGATGTATATGACGTTTTCATCGCTAGTTGGGTTGCTGCATATGCAGCTGATGCAGGAGCTGTCGAAGTGAAGCAGAGTTTTATTCTCTGTTTGAGGTTTCCGCTCCAGTGAGTTGTCAGCACCATTTGGCATGGCGACTGCCTGTTGCAGTTCCCCTTTCGTAACCTCCCCCCGGGTTTTGTTACTCCCAGTTCGCAACTGACCACCGTGGATGTCGTTCCACTCGATAGCACTCCCCTCGTCGTTAAAACTGGAGGGGTATATTTGTTTAATAACGTTTTTTTCAGTGAATAATATGAAAGAGTTCCATGCAAAGAAGTCCTGCTCAAAATTAGACAGCTCAAAAGATATGGATTTAATTTGCCCCACATCGATATTCTCAAACCATGCGTAACATTTGAGGTCTGTATCAAACACCTGAACGCTTCCATCACTGAGTCCTAAAATGACATAATTTCCATAACTCTGTACAATGGTTATTGGAATGTCTTTTCGTATTTCTAGGTACTTTTGATATTCCCTCTGTTTAACACCCTGTTTTGTTTTGCTCAAGAAAATGGAACTGTAGTCCCAGATAATCAGGTAGCCATTTGTCGTTCCTGTCAACAGCATTGTGGAGTTATCAACAAATGACGTCTCGGTGAATATAAAACGCTCATTTATTATGTTACTCTTGTATAAGGAAGGACTGTAATGTGTAATCGTTCTATGCTTCTTGACAAAATTGTAAATGTATAACTTGGATTTGTTGTTGGAGATGATTTCGTACTTTTTATTGAATCGAATTTTCTCTTGTGTCTCGTTCCCATATATTTTGTCTCTGCACACGATGTTGTCCTCCCCTCCGTTGGTGTCGAAAATGACGATTTCTTGGTAAAAAACGGCATTCGTGCTGCTTCTCACGTTGTCATTATGCTGGATTGCCTCTCCCTGTGTGCTCCTTTCGCTACCCTTAGCGTAGAGCTGCTTCTCCGTCAGTGCGCATATGTACCTGTTGTCAAAACTTATGTCCACGCACTCGTATCCTACGTTCTCTGCTTCGCTAGGGTTTCCGTGCCCACCAGTCACTCTCTCCTGGTTTCCTGCGCTTGGGCTCTTCACTGCCCGTGGACTGTTCACCGCGCCTGGAGTGTTGTTCCTGTGGAATGCCTCCCCATCGTTGCTCTTTTTCGGCTCACTCTTCCCTGAGGCCTGATGCGAACTGTGAAAGAAAAACTTCTTAACCGGAACTAAGCAGTTCTGATTTAGTCTCCACAAAATGATGAAAGAATTCCTCCCCTTGTCACAAGAAACGATAAATTCATTGTTACAACTTTTGATCAATTTTGAAATTTTGTTAACATGTCCTCTAAAGAGTAGCTGCTTCTTTTCATCCACTATGACGATATTGTTATCCGAGCTGTAGACAATCAGGGGATCTCCATATTTCCCCGTGGTGTCTCCTGCCTGTTCCCGCTTACTTATCACGTGCACACTGCTAAGCGACTCGTTAATTCCGTAGCAGAACTTTAACGTTATTGGTTCGTCCAACGTGTCTTCGTTTTGCATGGTTCTCTCCTTTGTTCTTTTGGGGGATCACGTAGAATTTGTTCCTGATCATCACTTAAATGTACCTTTTGGGGGCACGTTCCGGATGATTTTCTGCGTCACTTTTTTTAGGTTGTTTTTCTTCCCGGATACACCTCGGTGGCAATCGCGACGATCGTAGTTGTGCCTGCGTCGGACTACCATGCGGTTTTGCAGCTCTATATATGGTAGATCCCAGTATGTGGCATTACATTTGTAAGGAGAGAGTAACAGTAGACAGAGAACGGGAAGACTGCGAAAAAAAAAAAACAAATGCACTTTTTTTACGATTACAAATATGTCTCTTCAGTGTCGTGCATATGTAGTAAGCTCTTCATGGAGTGCGATCCTATTAAATTCAGATTGACCAGGAAGCAGGACAAATTGGCGCTGCGCGGAAGGTGCAACAGGGCACGTATGTCTACATATGTCTACCTCTTCGCATAACTATACATTTGAACACGTGTGTATTCCCTCATGAGTGCTTATTATGCCTCATTTTAGCCGCGAATCGGAGCGAGCAAAACCTAGTCGTTGTTAGGCGGCGAATTTGGGGAAGCGTTTTTCACACATTTACAAAATGGAGAAAAGAAGAAAAGAACGGAGCATCTTTTAAGACTCTCTGTAAACTGCAATTTTTTTTTTGTCTATATATACGGCGAAAAATAACTACACGGAAATATGCGCAATTGATGTTTTTTTTTTTTTTTTTTCTCTCTATTTTGGAAAGGGTGCGATATTAACGTAGTACAAATAAGGGGGCAAGAAAAAAAAAAAAATGGCTCATGAAACTTTTAAACGGTTCGGATGGTAGACTTACATATGCGTGAATAAATTCTCTGCACATGTGTGTATTTTGAATCACGGGCAGATGGACACCGCTGCACTGTTTCGCTGTGATTAGCTGTTAGGGGGACCTTGCGTAAATTCGTTGCGTGTTTCTTGGCAGACGAACCTTTTGGTGACTTTTACTCTTAGGAGAAGGGGGAGGGGAAAAGGGCCGCGTTTCTTCCTTCTGTTCTACTGCAACGCTTCTCCCCCTCTGGGCTGCGCAATTTTACGATTACTCTTTTTGGCAAAGAAAAAAGTAGATGTCTTTTTTCCCTTTAATTAGGGAGAGTTCCCCCACACAGTGGAGTGTTGACTTGGAAACGCTGCTAACGCGTGAGAAAGTTTTTTTCAAAATTGTACGTTTAAATATGAACATATTTTAAACAAAAATTAAAAGAAAACTAAAGACATATTAGTGATGTGCAGTAGGAAACGTTCGTTTGACATAATAACAATGACGCAACTTGTGCAGAACGAAGCAGGTTAATGATGAGGCGAGCATGTGGCGGGGACGACCGCATAGTGCGCGCACGAATGCACACGTGGTTTTCCCATGTTTGCAGCTAACATATATTGTGTGCAAAATGCAAGGGAGACGGACGCATTTTAATGGTTGCCCTTTGTCTAGACACCTGCGTAGTGATTATATCAAAAGGGATAAACGAAAACAAGTGGACGAAGGTCACAAGGGGCACCATTTAACACAGACGAGTGATGGAAACATTTTACAGGTGAAGAAGTGAAAGGTGGCAGAAATGAAAACATACATATGGGAGACACATAAAAGAAGGGGGTTAATTTTAGTATGCGTTGAGGAAATCTACTTAGGAGGAGTAATCCATTTACGCCCAAATAAGTGGAGCTCCAAAATTACAGGAAAGAAGCACTAATTTTTCTCCAAAAAGTCTGATATTCGGTATGGCTGTCCAATGAAGGGAATAAATTCACTCTGCGTGGTAGGCGCGCTTTTAGTATTCTCTTCATGGAAGGTACCATAATGGTATTTGCTTAACAATAAATCATTTTGATTATAATTTAACGTGTACTTGTATAGCTGCCAACTGATGTATGAGCCAATAAAATACAAGAAAATGCCAACTAGGATAATGAATAACTCTATGTAAATTTTCCATGCATATGTTTTTTTCTGTAGTGGTAATAATTTAAAGAAGTTTTTAATACACTCAGGTTTCTTGTGCACATTTTGAGTAGAGTCCTCCGTCTTTTTCTCTTCAAACAGGTAGTGTAACGCAGTTGAGAAGAACTCCAAAAAGATGTTATCGACATTGATTATCTTCCAGTAGTGCTGTGGGTCTAACCACTTAAACCGATTCTTGCCTATACACTTAAAGAGTAGCCATATAAAGTCAGTAATCCCGCATATCATATTTACAACTGTGAAGCAGAAATACTTAAACGTTAAGTAGGAGCAGAAGCAGTCGATCCCAATGACAACTACCAACAAGTGGGATATAAACAGGAAGGGGCGGGGCGTAAGTAACTGCAGCCCAGCTAGGAGCACGTGTAAAATTATGCACACTCTATATTTCTTTATGCATTTTTTCACATCAAATTTGTGCTTATTTCCTAGGTCATACATTATAATATTTTTTATTGTCGTGAAAAATCAGCAGTTTGGGAAGGGGACGGAACGTCGGAAGGGGCACCGCGGAATAAATGGATTAACGAGGGAGCACTGCGCGGTGGGGTGGTATGGTGTGCTGTACTATTCTGGGTTGCACACATGTGTATGCTTCCGTGCGAGTGTATTTTTTTTTATTTTCCTTTTTTTCTCTTGCTCAGCTGAATTTCCCCTTTTTTTTTACGCTAAGGCGCACGAAACGGAAAATGGCTACTCGCACAAAGGCATAAGTGTCTTCTTATTTTATATGATAACTACGTAGCAGATATATAAGACAAAAAGATTTGCGCGTAACTAATAGGGTAGTTCTATCGTCGAGCGCGCGCATACTGCATGCACCTACTTAGGCATTCTTGGTGCGTAAAAAAAAAAAAAATGCGAACGGGAATTAGCATGCGTTAAAAATTCGTGCTTCCAATCTCATCAGCATAAAAATGAACGAAAAAAATACGCGCATACGTGTGTATGTATACGTATACATACGCTCAGACTAACTGAAGCAGCCTAATTATCTAATTAATTAGTTCAGCCTAAAGCGAATTCAAAGAAAATTAAAACGGCTATATGGACATGCGTATGCATACGCATTACAAGATTAACGCTTCTTTTTTTTTTTTTTTAATGGCAAAAATGGCGCAAAGCATGCATACAAAAAAAAAGAAGAAAAAAGGTGCGTTCACCTTTTTGCAAAATGCACAAATGCGCAAAATTAGCGCAAATGAAATTGTAAAAGAAGGCAACAACTAAAAGGAAACTAATAAAACATAAAGAAGAATAGCGACATTAACAAAATTAAGGCCATTTTTTGGCGCACAGAGAATGTTAATTAGCAAAATGGAGAGAAGGAAAATTGCTGCGCGCAGAACATGTGTAACGTGGGAGGAATTTTTAAAAGCAGACAGAAATGGGTAAGGGCAGTTTCATAGCCCTGAGTGATCATATGGAGGGAGCTTTTTTTGCTATACTTAAGCAGAAGGGGCACGTGGCACTGTGCGGAAAAGGCAACACCCTAGCAGAGCAGGAAAGGGGAAAGCGAAAATGAATAAACTTGCTGAAATGAAAAATTACTAACGAAAGGTGTATTAAAAAAAGGGAGATGAAAATTAATTAAACTTTGCCAAATGAACAGTGTACAACTCGCACATGTTCACTCTTTCGGATAAAAAGAAAAGAGTAAGGGAACGCGTGTGTGTGCAATACACATGGTGGCTGAATCGCATTAGAGCAATTTTAATTTGAAATGGCTACATTTTATGTCGTCTTGTTAAATTAAATAGATGGATAGGGAAAATTGGCAAATGTCACAATTGAATTTCGTTAATTATGGGATAAAAAGGGCACAGCAGCCTGGCTCAATTTTTGCAAACGTGTTGCTTTAATTTGTCTTTTTTTGCGACTCTAATGCTGACAGGTTTAGCATTGAGTCAGGTGAAATAAAATGGGGTGAAACAAAATGAGATGAATCAAAATGAGGTAAGATAAAATAAGTTAAAAATGAGATAAAATATGTTAAAAATGATGTAAAAATAAGGTAAAATGAAATAAAGTCAAATCAGGGGTGCGGCGAAGCGGTAGCTGTTCGTCGTGTGTCTTTATACAAAATTGGCCAAACGGACAAAAGGAACAAGTATAAACGCCTTAAGTGGTGAATAGGAACGGAAGTAATTTTCTCTTAAGTGCTGGTTCGAATTAATTCATTCTATGAAAGACAGAAAATGGAAATTTTGGGAACTCTTTCCTCGGTGACACACAAAGTGGTGTACAGGCGTTGCGCAACAGACCGTGCACGTTTTTTTTTTTTTTTATAAAGGCAGCTTTTTTCAACCGTTCGACCTGTCAATTTGTTTGCCAGTCAATCTGGCAATTGGTCACTGCCACCTGCCATCCGTGAGGCACTTGACATAATTCCCTCTAATGGGTTATAAGCACAAACAGTTCCTTGTTTAAACGACGAGACATGTCATTGGATAGCCGCGCAAACGGTTACGCATATAAACGAGTGTATTATACACATATGTACAAAACAACCCGTTTATATTGATTTTTTTTTTTTTCTTCTTTCTTTTTTTTGGGGGGGACGCGTTCTCTTAGTTATTGCAAATTACACAAGGGTGCATAATGGTGCATTATAAATTATTATTTAATTTTTTTTTTTTTTTTTTTACAAAATTGCAAATATGATGTGGGTAATTACGAAAACAAGTGGGAATTTTTAACGTATGAAACTAAATAATCAATCTTTTTAATAGCTCTCATTTTGAACAAGCTTTACAGAATGCCATGTACATATGCGCACATTGTACATATGTGCATGGTGCACATATATTGCATACGTTGCCTGTTGAAGCACAAAGTGCAAGCTTTAATGTGGTTGTCTTGACGGTATGCGGATATACCCGAATGAATGTTAGGAAAGGTCAAAAAAAAAAAACAAAGTTCACTGAAATAATCTGAACAAAAGAAAAAATAAAATGGTTTAGCTATACATTTGCGTCACGTATATTTTTGGAAATATCCACGAAAAGCTTAACGTTCCTAGGAAAAAAAAAAGAAAAAAAAAATCAAAATAAAATAATATTAATAAGATGGCATCATGACAATATAATGAAGATGTAGCACAAAATAAAGTTCACAATTCGCAATGGCAGGAAAAATGCACATATGCGTTTACACTTTTAGGTTTTAAGATTTGAGTTTTTCGTTTCACACAATAAACCAAACTTAGTTAAAAAACACGTACTATACTTTCGTGTGCATTTTTGCTTTAAAAGAGTCCACTCAGAAACAATACGCACAAGATTTTCCCTCTTAGCGAATTTTTTAAATAGTATGTATATGTATGTGGACATACGTGTACATATTTTTATCTTTTACATTTTTTGTTATAATATGAAACTGCTTTAGTACTATGAATGCTTTAATTTTTTAATAATTGATTTTTTTAGTTTTAAAACAAAAAGTACAACCAAACGAAATAGCATAGCAAGCTTTAATATTTAATATTTCGAGAAATTAACGCGATAACTGCTAACAATTGTAATGAAGCACAGATCGGAAAAAAAGTATTTAGAAAAAAAATAGCACACAAAATAAGGAGAGGAAAAACCAAAGTTAGACAATTTGATAACGCTCTTTATGCATTAAAATAGTACCAAATAATTAAATTAGGTAAATGAATATGCGCCCTTTTTTATTTGGCTCGCATTGCTCTGTTACTCTGCTGTTATGCATTCCGCTCCTTTTATTTATGCATTTATTATCCTTATTATCATTCTTATTATTATCTTTATTATTATCCTTATTATTTTTTTCTTCTTCTTCTTCAAGGATGCAATAAAAAAAAAGAAATATGCGAAGAAAGCTCTTTGTCACGCTTTTTATAACTTGTCTGGCAACGCTTTCATCGATTCAGGGTAAAGCACACGAATTTGAGAGATGAACAGAGCAACGTTTGAGACAATGCGCGCGTGCATTTGTAAATATGCACCCATAGGCTCAGAGTTTCTCATGCTCTCGTAGGCTAATGGATAATTCTGCCGTGTACAACATGCTCCTTTTTTCTTTTTTTTTCCCAAATGCTAGGGAGAGAATATTTCAGCGGATTTGTGAACAAAAAATTAAAGAATCTTTTACAATGTAACCTGGTAGCGTATTACAACCTCAGAGACAATGGACCCGATCCGAATGTAAGCAAAAGAAGTTTGAAACGGAAATGAGTGGAAACAGTGGAAAGAGTGACACTGAAAAATTCACAGTAATGTAGGCCTTTTTGCGTGAATACGACGATACAGTAGTATCTGCTCAAGTGCATACAGTGTGTAGAAAGAGTGTCCTCACCGTGTGGAGGGAGGTACATTTAGAGAAGCATTTGTCACTTTATACCCAGATGAACGAGGCTTCTTCTATGAGAGCATCTGCCCAATGCGACATACGTTGAGTGAACAAATGTGGGTACGCGCGTACACTGTGCGAGATGAGCTCTGGTACAGAGATGCGAAGGTAGAATTTTGCCTTCTACAGCAGATGGACAGATGGCAGGATGTGTACTCAGCGTGTTGATGAAATATTCGCGAATGTGCTTGCCCCTTGTGAAAACATTCTTCGAGTGCTTGCTTCATGACTTGCGCACGCATCGCTATGTAGAGAGTGCATATCATGCATGCACCTATTCGTGCACACAAATGTAGGAGTATCTCCTCATACGTAGTCACCTTCGCATACTTACCTTTGCATACTTACCTTTGCATACTCACCTTTGCAATAACACACGATCGTACTTGCTTCTTTCTCCCCCCCGTGCACCAGTCCTTCCTCGACTTTGTCGGGGAGCCGGATCAATTCTACTGGTTCATAGAGCATTACCTGTCGGTGCCATTCAGTATCCCGAAGAATTTGAAAAAGAAAGAGGGTAACAACTTTCGGTCATGCCTGAACAGATCGTGGGTATCGGAGTTCTTAAGGAAATATGAAGAGCCAGATATAAAAGAATTGATGAAATTTTTAGATAAGGAACAGAAGGTGTATTTTTCATACACGTTTGAAAATGTAGAACCCGTTGCAAAGTACACATCCTTTGCTCTAAAGGAATTTCACAAGTACTGCATCTTGCCACCCCTGATAGAAACAGACATTAAGCAGAAGGATAAGGAAGGGCTGCTCTCATTTCAGTTGAACCAAGAGGAATATAAAATATATTTAAGTTCCGTCGGAACACCAATATCTGCTTTAAAAAATTTATATGTAAGTATGGAAGAAGGAGAGAGAAAAAACATCTTGAAAGATATCGTGGAAAGTGGAGGGCCAGCTAATGTGTTTGTTAACTGTCCAGTTTACAATTTAAAATTGCATTACAATAAAGAATGTGGTTCTCAACCGAATGTTTTAAAATGTCTTGATAATTACATAAAAAGATTATGTGAAAGAAGAATATCAAATAAGGAAAAAGGTACATTCTGTGATGATTTATTGTTCCTTTTTGATGCTTTAAAAGAACCCTATGTTGCAAATTTTAAGAAATTTCTAACCAGAGATGACGTACATTTAGTAAAACCACAATCCGTTTGGAGAGTTCCTGTCTTTACTACATACAAGCCTAGAGATATAATGAATCCCAAGAATAAAATTCCTGTTGATATTTTTAAAGTATTGAACACCAAGAACAAATTGTTTTTATCTTTCTTTGATAAAATACCCAAGAGTCCTCACTACATGGAGGAGTCTCATCCGCTCATCAATCTGAGTACCTTCGCCTCCAGCATTTTTGGTTAGCATATTCATGCGAGTGTACACATAGGACTCGTTCCACATTTGTTTAAATGAGGGTCTCTCATTCGGGGCACAGTTGTACATGAGAAATTTTTTATGTGTATTTCCCCCCCCCCTTTTTTCTCTCCCACTCCGCAGACAAGCTTCATAGATTCTTTTACGCTTTCAAGAAAAAGAAAAATAAAATAAGTCCCGTTTCAGGTAACCAAGAGGGGACTTGCACGCGTGAATATGTGTCTCCGTGTCAGAGCATTTTCATGATATGTCAATTGCTCGATTCCAAAATGTTGCGAGGAGATAGCTAAGAGTCTTTTCCGTGCGATAACAACTTCAAAGAGAACAGCTTTCCTCCAACTTTTGCCTCCTATTGCATATTAGTTTTCTTTATTATTATTTTTTTTTATTTGCTTCTTTCATGTTAGTAAAACTAACTTCATTCACCATTGTTATTGTCTTATCTTTGCTTTCATACGACCACCTTCCTTCCCATCTTTTAGTCAAGGAATTAAGCCACAACATCACCGATTTTAGCTTTAAACATGACACAAGTTTCAGTAAGTGCATAAGAAAATGGGCAAAATGTTAACTTCTTTTTTGTGTGATTATCTGAGTGTAATTGTGCACGCGCTGTTTCCATTCCTGATTGCCTATTTGTTTGTTATGTAAAGTTTGCCTATTGCATGGAGAATCACATGACTCAACCATTCTTTTCTGTTTTTTCTTTACACCCCACACCTTTTACCCAGTCGAGTGCAAAAAGGTGAAGAAGAGTTTGAACCTGGACCTGGAAGTCGAAGTTGCAAAGGCAGTGGCTGTAGAAAAAATTTGCAAAATCATTGAAAATATCGTCCTGACCAAAGGGAAAAGGGAAAAAAGAAAAAGAGGAGAACCAATGGATGTACATAGAGGATTTCGTATGCAATGCATTTTAATAGGAACTCATGTAGAGGCATTGAACATTGTAAGGCAACTTTTAAACCTGGAAAGCATGCTATCGTTAACAAGATATACCTCTTTATATTTACACAAATTTTTTAAAAGTGTAACTGGCCTGAAAGGAAACTTCTTATATGAAAATCCAGATGCATTAAAATATGCTCGTGTATGTGGTAAAGCCGTTTTGCATATACCGGCAGTTCTGTACAGACGGAACATATACATAGCGGAGACATTTTTATCATTATATTTGGGGATTTCCAATTTAGTTTCTTCCAATCCAAGTAGTCCCTTTTTTGAATATGCGATCATTGAATTTTTAGTTTCTTACTTCAATAAAGGTTCCGAGAAGTTCCTTCTTTACCTATTTTCCATCGTTTCGGTTCTGTACATTAACGTCTACTACTATGAGCAGTTGTATTGCCACCACAGAGAGCAATTTGAGCTTTTAAGATCCAAGATGATTCACCCAAATATCGCAGATCGCATTTTAAACAATATTAAATCTTTGATGAAGAACCCCAGGTACATGGACATGCGTTCCTTTTACATGAAGTTTGAGAATGAAGATATATTTGACAAGAGGAAAGGTAAGTTAGAGGGGAGTACAGGAATGGACACACGTGCACATAGCTTCGTATGCTTGTGAATTGGTACATAACCCCCTGTGTGTAATCCTGTGCGTAATCCTGTGTACAATCATGTGTCTAATCCTGTGTGCAATCATGTGTCTAATCTTGTGTACACACTTCTTGTTTTCTTCTCATTCCCCCTCGGCCCCTTTGCAGTTTTCGAGGTGCTGTACGCATTAGACGAATTCTTAAACAACTCAGACGCTCAGCAGAAGGCGAAAATGCAGGATATATCAGACGAGTCAGTTGATTTAGACACCACAAATGATGGAATTGGGTTGAGAAAAGAAGATGTCTTTTTCGAGTCCGAACAAGGTTCCACGGAGTCTCTCGAAGACGACATGGAGGAGGGTCTTGAAGGAGTTGATAGAGACCAACAGAAGAAGGCAGCTGAGTATTTAAAAATGGTGCCAGATGAGGACAAAGCTAATCTGACTGACAGGAATAAGGAGTTAGAATTAGATTTATATAAATATATAGGAACTCTGGACCAGACTAGAGAAGGAGTGGGAACTATTTCTTCCCATTCCCCCGCCACTGCTGCTGGGATGGAAATTACTTCAGGCGGAGGCAGAGCTCTTAGACCGGGGTCCAAAGGCATGAATGAAAGAATGGGACAAACGGGAAAAGACCTTAACAGGATGAAAGGAAAGGATGTTTCGAAACTCAGAAAAGGAGTCGATTTCTACGAATCATCTACTTCTCTTAACCAAATATCTTCTGGTGAATCTTCCTCTCAGCAAGAAGGACCTAGTAAAAGTTTGCCGATAGAGACAGAGGAGCCCTCCTCGTCCGGAATGTGAGGGCACTTCCAGAAGGAATCGCAAGGTATACACGTGAGGCATGTGACGCACGTGATATATGCGATTTAGTACATGTACATATAACCGCCTTGTCCAATCGAGGGGCGCCGTGCGGAGCACTTCCTCAGCTTCGAAGATGTTTATGAAAAAAAAGTGCGAAACGATAGGAACAAATTATATTATTACTGATTTTTAGGAAGCGCACACCTCTGTTTTTTCGACGTTCCTTGCCATGCGCACGGGCATGTATACATATATATATTTATATACCAATATGTGTGTTTTCCCGTTTGGATTTTTTTTTTTTTCAGTGCCCCCGCTAGCCATTATAAGTAATACCATGGGAAGTGTTAGAGTAACTTAGAACCACAGGGAGAAAGAAACCCATAAGATACCCGGACAACCATCGAAGGCGTTTTTGCCCCCTTCTGAAGGGTCACCCAGCGACACAAACGGAGACGCAAAGAATCGGGGGGAACATTTC